CCGCCACACTTGATGAAATGAAACAGCATCACGTATGAGTCTTATCTCTTGGGGAGGCAACTGGGTTCAGCAGGACACTTTGCCCACAGAGGCTCTCGTGTCAGTAGAGTCAGATAGTGGCTGGGGCTGGAGTCATCTTGAATGCTTCTTCACTGACACATGTGGTACCCGGGCTGGGAAGACTGAAAGAGTAGGGGCTGATACAGTGCAAGCTTCCTGAGCATCTCACTCTGCTCTTTGTGATCTCTCCACGTGTTCCCTCCAGCGCGGCAGCACCAGGATACACAGACATCCTGTATGGTGGCTCAGAGCTCCAAGCCTCAGAAGTCAGGCAGCGTCATTTACATTACAAGCCACAAGGATGGCCCAAATGGTGAGGGAATTAACACCCACCTCTTGATATAAGGAGTGTCAAAGAATTGGAGCGTATTTTAAAACCATCGCCAGTCCCCAACTCTTTTTCAATTATGCGGGCCTTGACTTCATTTCTCAAGTGGGTCATCCGCCAGTCAAAAGGCTCTACTTGTGATTTGCAAAACACGCTCAAAACTTGCCCACTCCACGCCTCCATTCGCCCCATTATCTCCACGAGGAACGCCCCCATTTTGCCCCCTTGATCCCTCAAGCCCGTCTCACCCACAAGACTCCCCTTATGAGCTCAGTCTCTTTCTCATGCCAATTATCGTTTGTACAATTCAGCGGGCAATTCATCATTTCCTGCTTGGTGACATCTCTTCTATCCTCATCTTGGTATTTGGTTTAGATCTTTCAGGATTTCATTTCTCCCGGGTGGATACTTTATCTCCTTAGTTTCCGGGCCAACTCTTCTTCACAATCCCCATCCATTGGGCACTTCCGATGGGTCAGGCACAGTACTTTGGTCCTCAGCCAACAGGATCCCACCTACTCTGGACGACAAGTAACTCATTTTGCTGATAAGAAACCAAGGCATTGACAAGTTCCCTTACATGGCCAAGTTCATGAAGGCTGGAAGTGACAGAGCTAGGACTCAAACCCATTTCTATCCCAAGACCTGATAATCTCCTATCCCCTCTGTTGACACATCCCTTACTTTTCTCTGCCTGCCTTCCATCATCACACTCAGGAAGAGCACTGTCAACTTGATTTTACTCTCTCTACCTTGATTTGACTTTAATTTCTTTACCTGGGGCCCAGGTACAACGTCAAACATCAGCCTAGCATAAAGGAATCTCTCAGGAATAAGTGAAAGTGTACCCGGTTAGTATCTTTGGTTTGATAAAGATGGACGTCAGCTGCGAGGATGCTGATGCATGTTGTGAAGATGAGAATTAACTACTGAGTCTTCCGCTGGTTCTTGTGTTGCCTTCATCACCTGGTCCACAATCTTCCCAACTACATTTCCCCACGCCTCAAAGACAGACATCACGTTCTTGCACCTTCTTCAAGCTCCACCTTTTCAGAGAAGGCTCACAGCCGCCCTGATCCACCCGCTTCAAGACGAGATCAGCTCCCCCATTATGCCCTGTTATAGGTTGAGTTATATCCCCTAGAAAGATATGTTGAAGTCCTAGCCCCAGGAACCTGGGAATATAACCTTATTTGGAAAAAAGATCTTTGCAGATGTAATCAACTTGAGATGAGGTCAGAAGGTGGGCCTTAATCCAATATGTCTGATGTCCTTATAAGAAGATGAGACGAGACACACGAGGAGAACGCCATGTGACAACAGAGGCAGAGCTTGAAAGGGTGTCGCCACGGATTGTCTGCCTTCACCAGAAGCCGGAAGAGGTGGGGAAGGATTCGCCCTTCTGGGCTTTGGAGGGAGGATGGCCCGACTGATACCTTCATTTGGGACATCTGGCCTCTAGAACTATGAGAGAGGACATTTTTGTTGTTTGAAGCCACCCAATTTGTGGTACTTTGTTACAGCAGCCCCGGAGATGAAGACACATCTTATCCTACAGTATTTTTTTAATGGCCATCTGCTAGGTAAAGGTCAACCCCATGAGAGCATCAATCCTGTCTGGCCTGCTGGAGTACATAGTAGGCCCTCAATAAATACTCCTTATGTGCACACATGAGTAGAACTCTCCCCATCCACGTTAGCTGAGCATTGTCAAGACCTGTTGCTGCGTATGTCACCCAGAACCACACAGCCATGGCTGGCACCCATTTTGCTGGATTCTCTCTCTGGGACACACAGTGGGGGCCCTGTGAATCCAGAAGGGCCTGGAGACTTGTGTCCACCCCATCTCACCGTCTTAATTCCGCTGCTAGAAGGGGACCCTAAGGGTCATCTTGGGCCTGCCCTGTGAGCGTCTCACCTCTTCTCTGAGCAATTAACTAATGGGTGGTTGGAAGTCGTTAGACTCCTATTAGAGTAGAACAGCCAAGCCTCCCTTGGAAGTCTGAAAACAAAGATTATCTGTGACGCACAGGCCTCCAAACCAGGGAAATAAACCGAAAAGCTCCACGTATTGAATCAATCTCGCGGCCTCAAATCAGAGAATGAACAGGCTCCCGTTGCAGCCTCCCGCATTCTTATGGTAAGAACTGTATTCAGCCTCTAGCCTTTCTCCTAAATTGCCCAGCCAAGATAGACCATTATTATAATGAAATACCTTGGCCAGGAATGTTCTTGGTTTCAGCTAAAAGGTTTTCTTTCTGACTGCTGTGCTCACAGACGCTGCCTTCATTTGGGGGAACTTCCCCTCGGCTGTCTTGAAAAGACTTCGACAGGTCTCTTTATATTTTATTTGATTTGCTTCCTTTCGGCGTGTGGGTCAGCGTGCCCCAATCCTAATGATGATGAAAACTGGAAAAGATGGGGCAGCCCCAAGAAAGGCTTAAGGAAAGAGAGCCATCATCTTAGCGAGGGAGACATGGGAGCCAAGCCTCGGGTTCTAGAAGGTTCTGCGTCCTTCTGCCCCCTGAGAGGCAGAGAGAGCTGCAGGGAAGAGGTCAGACCTGGACGTGTGCAGCCTCTGGCCCCTGTGGGCCTCCCTGTTTGAACTGTAAATTATCATGGCCGTTGCACAGGGCTGTCTCAGGAATGAGCTGACTGTCAGAGAAGTGCGAAAGCTCGGTGCTAAATTCTGAAATGCTGAGAGCTCAAACTGAAGGGAGACCGGGCGGCTGGATATCTTGTCAAGACTTGAGGACCACAGTGGCTGCATGCCAATCGGCCACTTGAGGTCCTGTTCATGCGACGTCTGCATCTCTCTCCCAGCATCCATCCCAGAGGTCTCAAACTGGTGGTTTGGGGGCCAAATTTGGCCCCGAGTTGTGCTGTTTGATCTGCCCAGTGCTTGTTGGTTTTACATTTGTTTTAATGCTTTTTTACGGAGTGGTCTGGATAAAGAAAATGCAAAATTTCACATTGAAATGTCCAGTCTCTTGAAAAGTCAGATACTCTGGTCCACTAGGGCCAGCATTTCCTGCCCCAGGTGGAGGGGAACGCCCACCCAGTTCACCTCACTCACTCCTCTGACACACCTGGCTCAGGTGAGCAGACAGTTTGGGGGAGCACCCCCCACAACCACTAGGCAACACTGCCCTCCTACAGGAGCAAATCAAATGTCACCTTTTCCACAGAGACTTTCCAGAAAAATTTCCCCCCTGGTCCTCCTATAGGTTTGTGTTCCAATCGCCTAATTCTTTTGATAAATCCTCCCCTCTGTCTGGGCTATCTGAGTAATTCCATTCAGCCCTCATGGCTCAGCACAGATGTCACCTCCTCCGTGAAGGCTTCCCTGATTGCTCCTCCTTCCTGCCCCTTCAAGACAGGTTAAGCACCCATCCTTTGTGCTGCCATTAGCTTCCCCTCCCACCCCGAACATGCTTGTACCACCTGCATTGAAATGTCTGTCTCTTCCCCACGGGGCAGTGAGCTCTCTGCAGGCAGGGGCTGCATATGAGCTTTGTAAACTCAGCATGAAGTTTGGAGGCTGGCAGCTGGGAGGGTCTCGGGAAGTGTCTGCAGACTAGAGAGAGACTGCGACACAAGGAAGAAAGGGCTCCCTTGTTCGGGAGGGACAGTCAGAAGGTTGGCAGCAGGAATGCCTAACCACAACGGTCATCATCGTGATAGCACCTGACACCTACTGGGGGCTTCATTGTAAGTCTTTACAAATTAACTCATCCAGACTGTGCAGGTCTTCTGGGAAGCAGTTGCCTTGATGGAATCCCACGGTGAAGAGATTTATCTGGAACGCAGCGGGAGGCAGGGAGGGCATTCAGACCCCAGTGCAGGTCTGACACTTGGGAAGGGAGGAGGCGGACTGGCAGGAAGAGCCTGAGACTGCAGCTCTGAGGAGGTCTGGCCCGGGTGACGGCGAGTGCCCAGCAGGGACCACTCACGGGAGGCAATGCGCCTGTGTACCTGGGCCATGCTCAGTCATCGGCTGCAGGCAGGCGGGAGAGAGCGTGTCCTCAGTGTGAACCTGGCCGTGGGTCATCTGGAGGCTGTCAGCCAGCTCCTCCTCCAAGCTGGGAGGTCTGGGTGGTCCAGCTCCACCTCTTGGGCACCCATTTAACCCTCACGACAACACCCCAGGAGCCACTGTTATTATCACCATGTTCCAGGGGAGGAAACTGAGCCTCTGCAGAGCCCGGTGACTGGGCCCGAGGTCACACACAGCTCTTAAAGAAGGCAGCAGGTATCAACCCTACATCATGCTGGCTCCCAGCCTTGAGGGTGGCCACGCTGCCCTGGGGATCAGGGCAACCCCGGGAGAAAGACAGGGGTGGCTTGGGTTGGGGGATGATGGCCCAAGGCCCATATGACTGACAGGGAGCCTGGGCGAGGAGCTGACTTGCCCATTCAGGAGTGAGGCCAGCAGGCACGCCCAGGACTCCTGGCTTCTCTGCAGCCCAGAAGACAGAGACCCGGAGGCACCAATCCCGCGGCCTCGCAGAAGGTGGATTTCCAGAAGCTCCTTTGTCAGTCCCTCCCCAACCCCCATAACGATGATAACACCAGCCAACGCCTAAACGGCAACGTCCACGTGCCAGAACAGTGGAAGCATTACGCCTCCACACTCCTTCAACCTTCCTGGGGGTCCCGGTGAAGGCGCCTTTATCCTCCCATTTCACAGAGGAGGAAATTGCGGCCCAGAGAGGGGAAGATGCTTCCTCAAGGCCACAGCTTGTCCATGGCAAAGCAGAGACGCAAGGCCAGGTGGGTCCTCTTCTTTGAGGGCTCTGCTTACTTCAGCCACGCCGGTAAGACGAATGTATTTGACAAACGTATTGTGTGAACAAGAGCCTCTCTGGGAAGCGGTACTGTTTTTATTGATCTGTAAAATACAGATGTCATTCAAAAGCAGCGGCTTCGGGAAGATGCAGGTCCCCAGAACAGCCCCCTGGCGCGTGGGCTGCAAGCCCCGGATGGGGGGCGGGCAGGGGCAGGTGCCAGCCCGGCCTCCCTCCAGGACAGGTGGCTGGGCCAGGCTCGGGGCGGGCGCCGGGGCCGGGGGTGGGGGGCCGAGGGGCGGTCACCGCCCTGCGTGCGAGGCGAGGCCGCGCCCCCGCGCCCCTGCTCGCGCCGTGCCTGCCGCCGCCACCCGCCCGGCCGCCGGGCCGGCCACGGAGCGGCCGCCGCAGACTCGGCGGCGCCAGCGCACCTGCAATAAGGCCCCGCCGCCGCCGCCTCGCGCCCAGAGCCGCCCGCCCGCGCGCCGCTGATAAGACGCGGGGAGGGGGGCGCGGGGCGCAGGGGGAGGGCCGGCGCCGCGGCCCCGGGCGCCCCTCCGCCAGCCCTGCCGAGATCGCGCTCCCCTCGCTGCCTCTCCCTCGCCAGGGTCGCCTTCTCCTGTCTGTGCCTCCGCTCCGTCCCAGTTCCCTCTGCCCGTCCCCGCCGTGTCTGTGTGCGCCCGCGCGCGCGCATTTGTGCGTGTATGTTTCGCGTGTCTTTCTGTCTCCCGTACCTGGCTCTTTCTGATTCTCTCCATCTCTCTCTTTTCTCTCCTTTTGGTTTCTCTCTCTGAGCATTGTGAATCACTCCATCCCTGTCTCTCTCCTCTTTCCCTCTCTTCCTCCCACCTCGCTCTCTGATTCAGTCCCCTCCTCTACCTTCTCCCCTCTCCCTTCTGTCTGTCTGTCTGACTTCGACGCCCCCTCTCTCCCCTCACTCTCTCCCTCTCCTTTACTTGTTTCTGAATCATCCCCTGCCCCCCTTCTCTCTCTCTGTCTCTTTCTGTCCCCGCTCACTGTCTCGCCCTCCTTCCCTCCTTTACCTGCATCTGCCCCTTCCTTTTCTCCCTCTGCCCCGCCCGTCCATGCTCTTGCCTCCCCCTTGCCGCTACTCTGAGTCCGGTGGCCTCTCCCGCCATTGCACTACTGCATGCCTGCCTGCAGGAGCTAGGCCTTCCGAGCCAGCTGGACCAGGAACAGCTGGACCCCCAGGCGGGGCTCAGCAGGTGTCCTGACATCACTGGGCAGGGCTGTGCTCACCTGGGCGCCTTTCATCTGAGGCTCGCCATGCACTTCACAAACAGTGATTAAGGCCCGCCTGGGGGCAGGTCAGGGAATATCACAGCCTGGGCTGTTTGGTTATCTTCGTTATTAATACGCACCCCCTCCCTTAAATGAGTTTAGTGCTGGGGACAGAATCCCAGCTGACGCCCAAGAGATTAAGGTCTCTCAGCGTTGCACAGGCCAAGGATGGCAAACTGATAAAACAGGGACATGCGTTTCTGCTGCTTCCTTCCTGCACTGTGGGCCTCCGCCCAGAGCTTAGAGCACCCTGGGGTCAAGAGAACAGGCTGGATTTCTCAGAGTGGGTCCCCGCCTGGTGGTCTGCCATGCAGGTCCTCCTGCCAGAGGAACCACAGCCTCTTTGCCATGGGCTTAAGCAGGAGGAGTGACAGGGAACAGATCAGTGCCCACAGGCTTTATTTCTGTATTTGGTTTTTGTGATCAAGTGGTGCATCCAGATATTACTCGGAGATAAACACTTAGGGGGTCCAGAAGCCACAGGCTTGAGCAACTCAGGAACTGGATCCAGGGCAAAGCCCCTGAGCAGAGAAGGCCAGGCACAAAGCAAAGTCCCCGGGCAGCAGAAGCTCTGCCTTATGAAGGCAATTGAGATCCACATTCAAGCCAATTTTCCCAACCCACTTTTTCCCCCCCTAGACTTCCAAAAAAGGGGATATTTCTGGCAGCTACTCTGGTGGCAGCCGTCACAACTAACACATATTGTTTAAGGGCACATCTCCCTATAAATAAAAAAAGAATGTGTTCATGGAAGGCTCCTGGATGGTGGAAATGGAGAAAGTGGCACTGACAAAATGCTGTGGCCACTTGAGTACTTTCCACCACCTCTGCCTCCTGTATCAGAAGTCACCGGTCTAATACCGTCACTGAAAGGCCTTCACTGTGTGACCTGAGACAAGTGACTTGCCCTCTCTGGGCCTTAGTCATAAAATAAGATCTAAAGATTTCTCTGGCTCCTTCAAGTCTCTGGCCAGGCAGTGTCTATCTCCTGACCTCATACACATTTCCCAGAGGCAAGACCTAAAGTATTTATTCCAAGGTTGCAGGCCACACTCCCTGTTCCAAATCGCTGTTTTGTTTTGTTTTTTAGTGGGGGAAGGGGAGAATCTTTTCTTTTTGAAAATAAACAAATCTAGTGAAATACCATGACATTTTATTTTAAAGACTCATGCCAGAATGTATTCTCAGTGTGAAAACATACTCAGATCTGCTGTAATTTCAGCTTAGTAGCAAATACTACAGCCTACGGGAGCTGAAAGACGTCAAGACTTTTTTAAAACTTTTTCTCATTCTGGCAGATATTTAAAAAAACTTTTTAATAGCGTCACTTCCTTTGACTATCAGCGAAAAGAGCTTCCCCTTTCTGTTCAGCAGGAGTTAAGCTGGTAAAGTAAAATGGACAAAGTGTTGGTTGTAGAATCTGGCTGCCGGATGTCCAGGTATGGACTGTAAAATTCTTTCGACTTTTCTCTTTGCTTGAACATTCGTAGGACAAATTCTAGGGCAAAAGTATAGAATGTCAACTCCTCTTTTGTTCTTCTCAGAGAATATTTAATCTGTAAATCAAAGGTCTTATCATTAAAGAGCAGGATCTAGCTAATAAATGAATTACATGAGGAGTCTGGATGTTCAGTGGCTCTTTTTGAGGGAGAAGAAAGGCTGCCTGCCTGGCGCCCGAAGCTAGGCTGGAGGAGCCACAGAGGGGCCAGCGGATGGGACAGAGAAATCTAGAATCTGATGACACATGGGCCACTGAGTCACGCTCTGACCTTGAATAAGCAGGTTTACCACCCAGTGTCCTGTTTTTCCATCTGTGAGATGGGAGTGATAACGGATGGGCTGTTAGGACAAGCAGGCAGATAACTTCCAGAAAGCCCTTTGAGCTTCTTGGAAATAGCACGCGAGATACGATTAGGCGCCAGCATGCTGCAGAGAAGTGTGCCCGGTGGCAATAGGAATGATCTGAGTTCACTCCGGGCAGACGCGGTCATCTGGCTGTAAACAAAGTTTTTCAATTCCTCCACCTGGTGTCCTTTATCTCCCTCCACCCTCCCCCCCCACCCCCCCTTCCCAAAACTCCCTGCCACCACCACCATCATCATCACCACGCCCAACACAGTCTCCGTCACCAGACTGTCTCTGGAAGCCCCTCTGATCGCTCTGACCTCCACTCGCCAGCCCATGTCATCCCCCGGCCTGAAATGCCCTCTCCTCCTACAGCCCACTGCTCACTCAGCCCAGGCCCTTCTTACGGCAATAATGTCAGTAAGAACCAGTAATTACTATTATGGCAGCCTGCATATTATTTGAGAGGCCCCGTGCTAAGTGCTTTAAAGTCATCTCATTTAATCCTCATTCCTACTATCCCCCTTTTACAGATATTTCTAAGACTAATAGCCACGAGTTCCAGTAAGTGTTTCCTTCCTTATTCCATTAAGATACAACTCTACAACTCGTGCTAGGTGCTTTGCATACACGATGCCATGGAGCCCTCGCCACATTCGGGTGAGAATGGGTTTCCCGTCCTCGCTTCACACCTGATCTTCTCTCAGTCTTCTTAAAGCTGCCACCCTCTCCCTTACTTCAGGACATTCTCCCTGCCTTTATGGAGAAGGTGTTTTGTCAGTTTCCCTAATATTTCCAGGGTGCATAGACATCTGCATGGCACGTATTAGTCAGGGTAGATTAGCTGCTGTAACAAATAAAATTATCGAGTCTGGGTGGTTTATCCCAATGAAAGTTTGATTCTCTCTATTGCTAAGTATGATGCAAGTCAGCTGAGGGCCCTGTTCCGTACGGTCATTCAGAGATCCAGGCTCCTTCCGTGCGGTAGCTCTGCCCTTCTCTACGTCCTTGGAGTCTTCCTCATTTGGCAAGTGGATGGGAAGAGAGAGCATAGAGGATGCTGTCGGAGGTTTTTAGGGACCAGGCTGGGAAGTTGGGAATATCACTAATGCCCCCCATCCAATGGCCATAACTGAGTGTCATGTTCCTACCCAACTCCTGGAGATGCTGGGAAAAGTAGTGTAGCTTGTGGTCGGGAGGAAAAAGAAAAGAATTTTGGGGAACATATGGCAGGCTCTGCCACAAAGTCTCAGGAATACAGAGATGGAGCCGAGCCGAGAGACATTCTTTTTCTGGAACAATCCCAAGGCTAACCGTGTTCAGATCCTCATACCTCACCCCTGGCCCTAAGTAACCTCTCCACAACACATCAGCTGGGACTTCCAGCGCCTCAAATAAAAATAAAAATATCTGCCCTGGAACTCTTGAGTCCTCGTGAATAGAATTTGCTCAGGGCAACAGTGGGAAGTCTGACGACTTCCGAGTTTAAAACCTATCAATGACCCCTAAGAAAACATCTCTTCTCGGCATGTTGTGCTCACCCATTGGGCGGGGTGCTGCTCACCCCCCAAGTCACCTTCTGTCACCCCCAGAGTGGAACTTCACCTGCCACGGGACTACTGGCAGCTTCCGGAACACCCTGGGCCCCTTCTCATCCCCAGACATTCGCACCTGCCGTTCCTTCTCCTTGGAATGCCCTTCACTGTTCTGGCCAACAGCCGCACTGTCCTTTCCCTCTAATGTTCAAAAGCCACTATTTGTTGAAAGCTTTCCCAGATGCCTCCATAGGGTCCTAGAGGATGTATTACGTGGCTATAGCTCTGGGTTTGCATTTTCTTCCAACGGTGACCCCCTACTCCCACCTCTGACCTGCAAGCATAACC